GGTGAAAGCCTTTCTTTGGAAAGGTATGACATGAGCTTTATCTGCTTCACGCGGCATGAGAGAAGCAATAAGCTGCAAAAGATGTGGACAACTGATCACCTCTTCCTTTCTTGCGACTTTGCAAAAACAGTATGGGAATTATATCCATGGATTTGCTGGAACATTTGGATCGCCCGCAACCTTCTGTTACTGTGCAGTAGAGGTGACGGACAGAGAGTACCATCGGTTCTTGCAGCGGAAGCAAGCCGAAGCCATTGACCTAAACAGAACGGAGCTCACTTTATACTCAGATTCTCAAACCATGGTGAAGCCCACTTTATAATGGGAAAGAGCATCCCTTGCGACTCAAATGAATTTTCAGTCTATGAAATCCCTAAATCACAACTAATCAAACTTTCATCTAAACACACATATTTCAGTTATCGGAATCAACAAAAGAGATTGAAATAAATTACCTTTTTATTGCCAAGAATCTTGCTTGAGCTCTCTAGTAAGATTCAAAACGATGAGTGACATCCCATCACGGTGGCGTAGGTGAAGCCGGTGGTACGAGCAAGGTTTGAATCCACGGTGAGGCTATTGTTGATCGAAAGAAATTTATCGAGTCTGAAATTTGTGATTGTTTTTTGTTTATTTGTTAATGTATACAGATTTGTTTCTACTGACAATTGGGAACCATCATCTTCAGTCAACGTAATGCAATTCGTTGTTGGAATTGACGTTCCTTAGGCTTGAATGCAATGCAAATTTGAGCTTGAAATAATCAATCGGGTAAACAAGAACAAGTGGTTAAGTTGTAATATAAACCGACATCTTATTGGAGTCTCAAGTTACAACTTTTTTTATACCAAATTCGTTTTAGAGATCAACAGAGAACGGGACTCCGGTTTCTGGCAACCAAGAAGCACCATCGATGAAATTGCCTACCGTAAACTGACGAGCTTCTTGTACATCTGATATCACATGAAACCCGGGCCACTTTACCCGGTTCTCTGTACCCGAACCCGGTCCCGAGTTCCTATACTCCGCGTAATACATGCTGCTAATGTCCGTCATGTTGCCCCACTGAAGCCATCCTTTGGGATCGACCAATTCGCCAAGTTGCGTCTTCATCACCACCGTTCGTGCGTACAGGGACCAAGGACGACCAAGATACGTTTTCACGCCTCCGAGCCGTGCCTTCGGATCTCCTTTTACCTCCGAGTTATGTATCACGATCCCACTCGTATGATTCGTGTTGTCCCGGTTCTGCGTCACTATTGTGTTGACTCCGCCGAGCGGTCTCCGTGCGAATATCTGACACTCTTGGAACACGACCGCTGCGTCACCAAAGATAAAGTCCACCGTTCCGTAGATCTCACACTCTTTGAAGAACTGACGGCTAACGCGGACGTAGAGTGTATCCTGGAACCCTTCGAAACTGCATTTGTGAAACGCTGACGCGTCTGAATCCGAACGTAGAGCCACCGCTTGTTTGTTCTCCGGTCCAGCAGTGTTTCTTATTGTCATGTTTTTCAAGACCAAACCGTCCCCCTTAGCCACTGTCAAACAATAATAGCTTTGTGCATTTATCATCAATGTATACTTTACTCTGTTATGTATCATCAATGTATAATAGCTAATAGAAATGAGTGAGTGAGTGACTAACAAAAGGTGGCGGATTCGAAAGTACTAAATCCGGTGCCATTGCTTCTGTCGCCGGTGATTATGGTCTTGCCCATACCCTCGCCGATGATCATCATGTTCTTTGATTTGCTTCCGACAATCACATATTCATTGTAAACGCCTTGCTTCACAAGAATGACGTACCTACGGCTTCTATTGGTTCTCTTAATTCCCGCACCATCAATCGCTTCTTGGATCGTCTTGTAGTCGCCTGAGCCGTCTTTAGCCACAACTACATCCACCCTTCCATCATTAGTCGACGGCGTTTTAATTGGTAGTGCTTTTGATACCCCAAACTCGTTCTCGATTCTTTTCATTCCCTGTTTCAATCAAAGGTTTTATTATACTGAGAGGGGACAGACATCTCTGCTTTGCTTCTCAAAAACCAAAATAAAACCTCCCTCGTTTTCTGTGTATGTTTCTCTCCTCTCCTATTTCTAGATTACGATACATATCTACAATAATCCCTTTTTTTCCTTCCAAATTTATAATATTTGTGTTTTCTTTCCAACGTATCTATAATCTTAATTGTGAAAAAAATACAATTTTAGACAGAAGTTTGACATAATATTTATATTCTTTCGAATTGTCTGTGTCATTTCTTTGTAGTGTACCTTTAAGAACTCAGTCGAGCTTAACAGAAGAGTTTTACATTGGCTAGGGCGTGGCGTTTGGTCGCAGCTTTCGTCTATTGCTACCTCATCTCCAAGAGAAATCCATGCAAAATGAAAAACTACAAAAAGTAAGAAATTTTTTGCTATCATCACTTTAATCCCCATTGTTTCTCTCTTCTTTTTCTTTTAGTATGTAACAGATATTGTGTGTATGATAGATTGAATGGTTTAAGATAGAGAATGAAATGGTCGAAAAGTGAATTAAGCAAGTAAAACTTCAACATCATTAGTTAATGGGATTGCATTTTGTTTTTATTCAATTTAGGAATGAAGTGTAGTCATAAAAATCTCCATGATTTGCAACTTGCATTATTTAATACAAACGAAATAAATTATTTAAAACTGGTTATTAATTCACAAATGTTAAAGCTCAATGGTAACTAATAAGCACACAAAGAACATAAGTTGTTTCAAAATTTTGTGTTGAAGTTGCTTGACTAGAGACTTGTTTGTTTTAGAGACTCCACGACTCTTCCTCGTTCTTTCCACTGGACCAAACATATGGCTTTGTGTTGCACACCAGGAGGAGCCTTTCCATGTTCTGACCAATTAGTTTGAGGACCTCTAGGTTTCTGAACTTGAGGAAGATGTCTCCTAGTGCATTTAGCAGTGAGTAACAAATATCAAACAAAAATAAGAGACTAAACAAATATTGGAGAAAAACAAGAGAGCACAAGGAAAAGATCATTCTTGCCTCATTTGATTATTCATGCTCAAGTCGAGCAATTTTCTCTTCCCTTGTCACGGCAAGTTAGTCACTTGACAAAACACAAAGAAATAAAATGCATTCTCTGATGATAATGCAACAAGAACTGAAAAACACATATTCACTGACTACATACGCAATTTACAAATTTTAGTGACTTATTCAAAGTTGCCACATCATCGATCTTAGCGACTTTTTCTAATTGGTTCTCATTAATTTTCTCATGGATTTTGTTATACATCTTCTTAATGGAAAACAAACTATATATCCTAAAATTATTTACAAATTTTTCATAATGTATCTCACTTATAATCAACTTGATTTGTAAAATAGTTATAGTTTTGATTCAATTTTTTATGTTTTGAACA